TCTCTTTACACCTCTGTTATTCCCTCTTGCACCTTTTATCGCAAACATTTTTTTTTCCTGGGCTCACTCACCCTTCAGGAGCGTGGCTTGGATTTTGTCAGCTCCAGCTATGTAGTCGGCACTGCGGTTGGTGGTGATGGGGGCCAGGATTTTTTTTCTTTGATTCCACAACACTGAAACATGCAGGGCGGTACTAATAAATTATGTTTGTTAAATACATCACATTAAAGATTTGATTTGCCTTTTTCTCCCATCCTGGGCTTTATTTTCGGGGTGTGATTTTCTAAGCTGAGAGCAGTAGCTGTGCATTTTAAACTTGGTGGTGACCTTGAGTTGTTTAATAGACACCTGGTCATCTTAGGCTAAAGGAGAACCTTCCACAGGCTGCAGGATCCTCACAGCCCTTTTCTCTGGGGAGGAGGCTTGTCCTCAGGAGCAGGTATCTGGGGTGGCTCTTGCTTGTGCCCTGGTAGCTTCTTCGTGGTAGCCTGCCTCACCTGTGGCGGCCATGCATGGGCTCTGGTGTCTGAGCTCATTTGATTTTCTGTGAGCTGTCAAGAAACCCTGACCAGCACGCATGCTCCCTTCCTCCCATTGCTGCCCCATTCGTTATCATGAGTCTAGCCTGTGCCTGGGGACATGCGCGGGTCGCTCAGTATGATTTTGCGCTTGCATTGGGGGGGTGGCATCCACTTGTCAAAAGATTCATAGGCGGATATTCTTTGTCTTCAAAATGAGTCTGGTTTCTATTGAGAGTCTGTTGAGAGCTGGAGTGAGTAACAGACACACCCCAAGAGGTGGCGCAGCGTCGGTACTCCAGCGTGGAAAGCACTCATTCCGTGGCTTCAGTGACACTCCGCAAGCCACACAGTTACCGCAGTACATTTTCTTTTCTTGCCCAGAGGGCGGCTTGACTGGCACCTGCCTTCGATTGTGCTTAAATAGGGGTTTCAGTTAAACAGAGCCGTATTAACACTAAGCCGAATCTACCTGAGCTGACACTGTCCTGTTTGTGTGTTGCTTAGGCACTAACAGTGGTGGAGCGAGTAGCATCTGGGGACGTACACCTAACTCAATAGTGATGGCTTCCCAAACCCTTATCCTGGCCTAGCCTCTGGGCACTGCACAGATAATTAAAATTGGGTCATAAAATATTTTAAGCACAATGCACCTTAGCAAGAAGATTTTTCTACGTTTAAAACTCATTTTAAAAATGCGTTTCCTTGGCCTAGAGAATTTGTTTGCTTTTTTTCCCAAGGATTACAGAAAGTGCATAGCAAATTCAGACTTCAGAATACCCAGGAGCTGAAGACTGAAGTAGGCTACAGCTGTCTTCACCCACCGCATTCTAAAGAACTAATGAGATGAGAAGGGTGCAGCTGGTGGCAAGCACAATAAACCATGAGCCAAGGGCTTCTCGTCGTCAGAGCTTCCCCTTGCCCCTGGGGACCCCGAGGAGCCGGAGCACTAACAAAGCCAGCAGGCTGCCACGGCACACTATTGCTCATTTGCAGCTATAATTGGTAGCCGGGTTGCGTTCTGTATGCTGAAACTGCCGTACGTGAAGGAATATGTTTGTTCATCGTGATTCGGATATAAACCAGCCAGTTACCACATGCAGAAAGACAAGCTAGATATCCCACGATAGAATGGCGGCAGAGAAGATCCTGTTAAAAATCTGAGGTGGTTCAGACTGCAGCTGCTTACTGCTTTTACCATGCTACCGAGTCCACTGATTATCACAGAGTCACACCAATACCAACCTAGAAGAGGCGATGGTTCCTCAGCTCTGACGAGCTGGCATGGTTCCATTCTCATCGGTCAGGGTTAAAGTGCCATTGCTGTTGATGGGGTTGCGTTAGTTTTTAGTATATTATCTTTACTGTTGCTGCTTTGTATGCATGAGGCACATGCACAGACCGGGAGACTTAGTTTCCTGTGTACACACATGTACCTGCTATCGGCCAAGCTGCTTTTATACCACTGGGGCCGTGGCTTCCTGGTGTTTGTGAAATGTGTTGGTTATCTGGGATCTGTGGACACTTTTGGCAGAGTGAGACTGGGATAGAAGCTAAGGAGGTTTTAGTCTTAGGTGAGGGAGCTATGCTGCCCTTTTTGGGCTCACTGCCCCGCCATTCCCTCGTCTGTAGAATGAGGGGTCTGGGTGACAGTTCAGTTCCCCTTACAGACTGAAGCCACCACAGTCCAGGAAGTCTCCCTCCGCCAGCACCTCACATGAGGACCAGGACTTGGCGATGTGCGTTTGGAACAGTGTGAGAGTCAGGTGCAGAGTGGGGCTACCTGCAAGTGTTGATCCCCTTTCTCTCATTACTTTATCTGTGGCATATAGGTACTGAAAATGCCAGAAGTTGTCAGCCTGGTGAGGAGCTGGGGCAGGAGAAGGGAGTGTGGTGGAGGAATCTACCGGGTCCATGTACTCGTGGTGCCGCCTTCACTGGTGCCCTGCAAGGCCTGCTTAGCCTCACCTCTGGGGCAGGACCTCTTTGCTCACTTACCCACGTGAGGTTGGTTTATACGTTCCAAACTTAGCTCTTTTTTTCTTCAGTTAGTTCTTTCTTGGTTTCTGTGCCACCCGTATTGTTCAGTGTCCTTGGTTTTGCTCTTTTAGCCCTAGTGCTAACTGTACACTCTTTGTGAATTGACTCTCTTGGAGTGAGCAGGTGTACAGCTCACAGCAGTCTCGTGTCTTTGTACACCTTTGGTTCACAAATCGCTCTCCCTTCTTTTCCCCTCATATCTTATAAATCCACAATTGAGGTCTGTTTCCCCACAGCGACATGTGTTTTCAAGTGAGTGTTTTCCTTCTTAATTTAACAGAAAATACAGAATCCGTGCGTTCTGTAACTGGTGCCGGAAGTGTGGCATTACTGTTCGAGTCCTCCATGCTCCCTAACAGTGCAGGCTTTATAAAAACAACATTTTAAAAATGGAAGCACAAAGGCACTGAGTGTTATGACGATGTCACGCCCCAGCCAGTCAGCAGGAAAAGGGGAAGGGTTTCCCTCAAATGGAATAAACCAGCAAGCCATGGCCAGGCTTCTTGGTGTTACACAGGTAGAGTTTCAAGTGTTCTAGATGCAGTGCAGCTCCACCATGACATCTTTCTACTTCTACATACGGTTTTAAGTTCATTTGAAAAATGCATTCCTTGGCTGGTTTTGGTGCAGGCGGTATTCCCTGTATTCTGTTTTACTTTGTGGGTTTCAGTTCCTTTTCTTTGTTTTGTTTGCCCCTTTCAACTAGACTGCTCTTTTTGGAACTAGAACCCTCCTACCTCCTCATCTCTGGTGGGGTCTCCCTCCCCCTGTGAGTAGCTGGGATTAAAGATGGAAGCCACTGCACCTGACCTAATAAGGAGATTTTGGTGGAGGGACGGTGGTGAAAGTGATTTTGATGTGACGTCAGTTTTTAACTTGGGGGCGAGCGAGCCTGTGTCTGGGTTTTCATTTCAAGCCTCTGACCTAGAAGAAGTTTGGTTAGTTCTCATTGTGAATCGAGGCTTGAATCCACCTTCAGTTGACTCTTCTCAGTCACAGGTGGGTGGTCAAGGTTTCAGGGTTGATTCTGAGTTCCTGAGAGCTAGCCGTGAGGGAACTCTGCTGTATCGCTTCCTGTAGGAAGTGACGCAGGTGCCGGCTCCCTGCAGCTCCTCCCAGCGTGTTGTTCTGGGGTCCGCTGACTGACCTCCTGCTTGTGGCTACGCCATGGTGTGTGTTTCCAGGCATTAGGGCCTGGGGTAATCAAGCAAGAGCTTGGGTAAGTGCCACTCACTGTTTGTGCCTTCTTAGCCTTTAGAGGGGCTTCAAGTTCAACGCCACATGTGTACCCTGTTATCTTTTTTTTAAGTTTTGTTTTCTCCCTAAACCTCATGTTGCTTCTTCACATAAATGATAATTTTCTGCTAGGAGGCATTGGCACACCATGTGCATTTCCTGAGTCCTGTGTGGCTGCTTCCGAACATTCTGTCTTTGATTTGTCGCAGTTCGTGTTTGCTTTGGAGCGTGTTTAGCGCGTGCTCCGTGCTTGAACTGTCCGTGTCTCTGGAAAGCGATGGCTTGCCGGGTCGTTGGGTGTGACTTGTCTGGGCGCTTTTCCAGAGTGTGGGATTCCTTTGTAGGGCTGTGACAAAAGGACAGGGCGTGGGCTCTGCAGCCTTCTACTCTGGCCCTCTCGCCTCCACCCACTGGTACTGTGGCTTTTTTTTTTTTTTTTTTAGCACTTTAAGAGTAATTTTTCTGTCCAGTGTGTATGTGATCTGTGATGGCAAGAGAACCTTCATAAAAACAGACAGGTTAAAAATGTACCCCTTTAGTTTCCTCTGTTCTGCTGGAAGAGACGCTGAGGAAGTAGAAGTTACCTGCATTGGACCCTTGATAGCACATTTGGATTTCAGGGCCATTTACACTGAAATGATGCAGCGAAGCAGCCCCATGTCCACAGGGGCTGACAGGAACACAGTCCCTCTCCCATGAGACTCCCCACCTACTCCATTGGCCGTCATGACAAGGGGCTGAAGCAAGTAGTTGGTCAGGAGTTTGAGGTGTTCCTCACAGACCCGGGCCTCAGACTGGGGAGTTGTGATGGTGCCCACCACAGCAGACGCTCTAGTGGGTGTCGGTAGTCCAGGGTTGTCATATACAGACTGTTTTCCGCGGGGTTCTGTTCCTCGATGAATTTGGGTCTATGAAAATCCCAAAGCTTGAATAGCAAGTATGTTCGTCCTCAGAGAGAGCTTTCCAGTAGCCATCAAGAGTTTACACCTCCGATTGCATTGCTGTTTTGCCTCAGATAAAATTTTAAAGCACAGAAAGTCAAACTGGAAGTGAAATGTGCAGAGCCTTTTCTTGCTCGTGTGTGAAACACATGAAGCTTAATCTGCTTCTGTCATGGATTTTGATTGCTGCAAAGAGCCGTTCTGGTGAGGTTGAAGAAAGTTCTCTGGTTTTCTTCTCTGACTCTGACTGTCTTCTGCTTTGCAGGACTACAAGGCTGATGAAGACCCGGCCCTATTCCAGTCAATCAAGACCAAGAGAGGCCCTCTCGGACCCAACTGGAAGGTACTGGCTGGTGACCCGACGTGCCCAAGTCTCAAAGAGCTAGTGACATTGAAGTGGAAGATACAAATGGCACAAAGAGTTTAACTTGTGATAAGAACTTAAGGCCAGTTGCAGTTGCCCATGAGTCTGAGCCAGGCTGCCACTCAGCGTCACGCCACTCTGATAACTCGTAAAAGAGACGGGCAGTGAAAAGAAATGGGTGGTGTTGTCTCTGAGGTGTGATGTCCTCTTTGGAGACTTGAGGCAGCCCAGAGAGCCCTCACAGTGCCGTAGTTTCAGTTTAGTCTTGGTAAAATCTGAGCAGGCTCCTCCACCCAGGCATCAACGCCGGCCTTTCTATTGGGACCAGAGAGTGGGGCTCATGGCAAGTAGTTGTTGTGGACCAAGAGCACACATTCACTCATGGAAGTAAGAGCAGTGCTGCGGTAGGCCTTTGCATTGCGGTGTGATGCATTTGAAAGTCGCCCACTACACAAAATGGCAGACCCTTAAGGAAGGCGAGAGTGTTAGTTATTCTGACCAGGAGGAAGCTGAGACCTGAGCCCGCCGTGAGCGCTCCGTAACCCTTTTGCTTGTGACAGAGCAGTTGCAGGGCACCGGGATATGATGTGTGGGTGTGGTGTTGCTTGCAGATAGAGGCTATTGGACAGCCCCACAGAGCCACAGGTGGGATGGGGGCTGCCAAAATGACCTCTTGCTCCAGTGGCCAGTGGGCACTGACTTGCTGGCAGTGCTGCCTCAGGGAGTGGAGAGGTGTGAGACTGAGACCAGAGATGCTTAAGCACCGAGACCTCTGCACATGGTGAGTTTTTCAGACGGGAACTTTAAAAGGTAGAGCTGCATTACAGAGTCAGGGTGTTAGCCTTGAACTCAGCCCTCCTGTGGGAGCTCCTGACCGGCTTCACAGCAGGCTTTCCCCCCAATTTTCAGCCTCTTAGAAACTTGTGATCATGTGCTGACTTACAGTGCTCTGTCCTTACTACTGCTTAAAATTATTTAAAATTGTGGAGTAACTTGGGTTTTTTAGAAATGATGCAAGTTTAACATTTTTGCAGGTTGCAGAGTAGCAGTCTTATTCCCTGGCCCTACCCTGTGTGTCATCACACACAGGGCCCCACCCCCATCCCCCAGGTGTTTTCTCTGTTAAACAGTAACTTACTGCTCTGCAGAGTGCTCCCCATCTGATACCTGGCTCCCCGTGTGCTCGTTGATGGCAAGCCAAACAACAGCGGATGCAGCCACTTCTATGAACCAATGCCTAACTGGATTTCAGTGACTTACGTGACCTCACAAGTGGCTAGGGTAGTTGGGAGTGACTGACGAGGCCACACGTTTCCTGCTATGGAGGGGACTGCAGAGGAGCAGGGACACAGCACGCACAGCACAGCAGCCAGAGAGTAGGCACATGTGGGCCCCAGCTGCCGTGTAGGACCAACGGTAATGGGGAAGGGTGATGGGTGAGCTTTCTGTGCTTCTGACATAGGCGGTACTAGGGAAGAAGGACATGGTAGCCGTGACAGGAAAGAAGAGGAGTCTTCGCTGGAGCCGGTCACACAGGGCTGTATAGAAGAGTGCTGTCATCTTAGGTGCTGGTTCTAGGTTTGCAGCCTCCTCACCAGGCCTTCTGTGAGCCCTCCGCCCGCATCTGCTGCACACGGAAGTGCCCTACCAGCCACTTGCAAAGGCTGGGCATGCAAGATTGAATCTTACAAACCCTTTGGTTTTTATTTGCTTGTTGTTATGCAATACTGGGAATTGAACCCGGGGCCTCACACTTGCTAGGCAGTCTCTTTCACGGAGCTACACCCCAGCCCTTGTGATCGTGAGGTGTTTTCTTACCCCATGGTCCTGTTTTCCTTCTCATTTAAAGTGTTCACTGGCAGTCTGTGTTAGGCTGGCAAGGGAGATCAGAAACGTTTTCTTGGTGCTGGGTACTTACTGCACAAGGTCACGTTTAATCTCCCCAGCGTTGCTGTGGGGCCAGTACAGCCGCTAGGATACACAGCGTGAGTTCAGCTGCTCGTGGCACATATGATGTGGCGCCAGAGCCCGGCAGATTCTCACTCTTAATCCAGTCGCTACGGATCACCCGCTGCCATTTGTGCCCTAGTCCCTCACGGCATTTGTGCCTGTATTCATGACATTTGATAGGATCTCATTGTTTTTACCATACTGGCAGGGTATTTCCAATGGTTGGGTCTCTGGATGCCAAAGGCAGTGAGAGGGCGCTCTATTAAGCTCTCAAGTGTTGACTTAGTAACTCAGCTGTTAACGCTGAGTAGCCTCAGTTTCCCTATCGCTAAAATAAGAATGTTCGTGACCATCTCATAAGGTTGTTTTGAGGAGTTAATGAAATAACAAGTTCCCAACATACAGGAAGCGCACGGAAGTGGTCGATTTTTACCGCTACCATCGTGCTTTTGGCTTTGAAAAATCAAGGGAATTTCCAGCTCTCGGCGTCTTGGAGTTGGAAGATGTGGAAGTGTGCAGCTGCGGCAGGGCTCCTTACCTTGGTCTCCGGTGTAGCCAGTCCCCCTTGTGTGTGGGACTGCTAAACATGACCTGGTCCCCCCAGCCGCCTCCTGCTGGCTGGAGGTGCTGAGTGAGGGCTGGTGTGGCTCAGTCGGAACGTAGTTGGCCTCGTGGCTTGGGAGCCTTCCCTAACGGTGAAGGCGGCTCGGGAATGGATTTTCCGGGTTTTCACATGCCACTGCTTTTAGCCGGCAGTGTGATACATAATCTTTTATTTTTAAAAACTGTAGACCTAGAGAGGCAAGCCTCAGTAGTATTTTGTTTTCCTTATGAAGAAGGAATTTTAAAACCCCAAGCACGTGAATGGTACTTGGTTACTTAGGGCTCACCACTTGATGAAGTGACTTCATGCGTAGTAATAGGAGAGCGATTTATAACCTGATTAAGATTTTGGCTTCCAGGCAGAATCGTGAGCTTGTGATGGATGTGAGCGTCCTGCTTCTGCCGCACTCTGTGCGTGTTGTGCGCGGTTCTGTTTTCTCTGTGCTTGGGGGTGTGTTTGCATTGACCGACTCTTCTGATGCTTTCTCAGAAGCCCTGCACACGTGGCTGCCTCGTGGCGCTCCAGTTTGCCCCCTGGCCTGGCTGAAGAATTGTCATCTCAAGTCATTTGTATCCAGTGCAAGGCCTCATTTCCTCCTCCATTTAGGCCCAGTGCTTCACGTCTGTGTTTCTGTAGGATGGCTAACTGTCAGGCCTACGAGGGTTTTGAGGAGGGTTTCCAGTCACCTGTCCCTTGGTGGATGCATGCATCACGATGGCTGAAGGGAGTGAGTCACATGACAAACTGAGGCTGACCCCAGATCAGGGTGGCTCTCATCTTCATACATGCTCTTTGTCATTAGAGAGGCAAATGCTGTCTTTAGTGCTCGCTCTGGGCTGAGCCAGTCTCCAGCACTTGGAGCTGGACCTCCCAGTCTCATACCGTCAACCTGTTCAGTCACACTTGGGCCTCCCTCTAGGAACATCCTGGTCACTATTCTGTGTCCTCCAGGCCAGTGTGAGGTTGGCCTCTCCAGGGCCACCATTGTATGAGTTACAGATAGGCAGATTTGTTTCCTTTCTTCTTCCCTTCATCTCCTCAATTTGAAGCCGTGGGCTCTGTGTGTCTCCTGTACATTGATACGTGGGAGTACCTAGCTCTGGGGTGCTTGTAGCAGGTGCTTACTGTTTGCTAGGTTCCGGTTAACCAACTTAAACCAAATAAAAGTCGATTAAATGTTGGACTTGATGTGTACTTACAGAAAAATAGAGTCCAGCTCCACCACAATAGATGGCTGTGGGAAGTTGCAGAAGAGCCATGCATTGGAGAGGGGAACTTTGCTTGATTCCCGTGCGTGTCCCTCTCACGCGCCCTATGGTCCCGCATTGGCGTTGACTGATGCACGCCTCAGCCCGCAGCACGGTTTTTTAACTCTGATGGTGAGGTCTGTGTTGGAAGCTCAGTGGCACAGTTGGCCGCTGAGGGAGGGAGCAATGGCGCTGTTGACGGAGGACCGCCGCCATCTCAGATCGGGAGTGCAGTGACCACGAGAGGACCGCGGTTTTAGAAGACCAGTTCCCAGATTCTTCTCTTAGTTTCTTTCTGACAATTCTCTTTTGTTTGTATATATTTGTTTGTCACACGGTCCAGAAGCTAAGCTCTGCAGCTAATACTTGATTGCCCACCTTCCCAGTCAAATGCCACATCCGTTGGTCAGTTATGGTTATGGTTATGGTTACGGTTACGGTTTCGGTCATGGTGCAGGATTCGTTACTCCCTGCAGGCCTTCCGCATGCCTTAGCGTAACCCAATACACCCTGTTAAATTAAAAACACTGTCGGACTTGGCGAGCTTCGTTTACAGTTTGCAATGTGAAATGCAAGGAATTCGTGAATATACACTTAGACAATTCTGGAAACGCCTCCCGACTAACTAGCGCTTGTTGTACACGGATGGAATGTAAATCGCGTGGAAGAGTCAGAAGTTTGGATTCTGTCAGCCCGAGACTCTCCTAGAGCTTGTGCCTGCTCTTGTGACCAGCCAGTGTTCACCTTTTAAAAAACATTGTCATTTTAAGTTGTCAAGCTTCACTCTGTCAGATTCATTTTTCTGCAGGATAATTTCGCTGGCTTCTTGATTAGGAGTGTTAACTTTTACTGTCCTGCTCCAAACGAGGAAATGTTAGGTTTGGCTGAGTTGGAGCTGGGTGTGAAAGACCTTACTTCAGATTTTGGCTTTATTTGTTTTGGGGTTTCTTTGGTTGTTTTGAGACCTCGGTGTCAACTAGGTTCCCTAGGCTGACCATAAATCCTACGTGATCCTTCTGCCTCAGCCCCCAGAGTGGCGGGGACTGTAGGCACATGCCGTGCCTGGCTTATTTTGGGGTTGTTTTTAAAGCAGTGAAGAGGAATCAAAAAACATTTGTGTTTTTTAAGGCAGTAGAGGAACTTTGCACTTGGACCAGGCTGCGAGTCTTCTGAGGACTGGGCACAAAGACTGGAAAACGAGGAGCTGTATTGCTCCAGCCCCTCTCTCAGAGACGCCTCCTAAAACATAAAAGGTAGCAGCCCTTGTGCCATTCACCTCCATTCTTTCTATTTTCTGGTTCCCGTAGTGTGTTTGCTGCAGTGCTTACACTGGGGAGAGATGCCTTGCAAATTTGCTGTTTCCTTCCCCCTGCAGTGCTGACTCTCTGTGAAAGATGGCGCTTCACACTGCAAGCATAAGAGGCTTGTGCAGTGTTGCACTGCTCTCCATCAGCGGACGTCAGGGTTGATAATAAGTGTAGGTTTGGCTGTTTCAGATAAATAACAGTATTTCTATTCCTTACTGACAAACAGCGAGCAGAGTTCATTTCTGAAAGTGGAATTGCCAGGTTTGAGGTGCGTGCATGGGAGGATACTGGCAGCTTTAAGACTTTTTATCAGATTTCACCCCAGAACGATGCTACCCGAAGGACTCTTTCAGGATTTACTTACCCATCCAGGCGGCTTCAGTATTTTCTGTTTCATCATCTAGTACGGAGAATTTTAAAGCCTTGTTCCTACTTTAATCACAAGTTTAAAGCTATAGCTCAAATTATAGCTAACTTCTCTTGAGTCAGTTTTAGAGTTGGGTGAGCCCTAAAATGTTGTGTGCACGTTAATAACAGTAATTGGGAAGGACGTCCTATGCTTCAGCATGGTCCTGGGACTGATTGTGGGTTGTCATGTCACCATCTCTGCCTCCCACCCGAGGTGTGGATGCTGTGGTTCCTAGACCAAGAAATAAAGGTAGTGGGATTTTTTTCCCACTTGTTTTTTCGTTGGTTCACATATTCCTCCCTGAAAGGTTTTAAAGTGCATAGTTGTGAATTAAAAAGAAAACAAAAAGCAGATCAAGGATGAGTTTGCATCTTACATCCGGGGAGATGAGCAAGGATAAGAGAACTGGTTCTTTATTTAATTTTTAAAATAAATTTTATAGACCAATGTTAGTTTATAAATTACTGTGTTAACCTCACTGATTTTTGCAGCTTGCCTGGGCAAGTCTGGTTAGTAGAAGTCACACGTCACTCTGCTTGAAGCCCAAGTTCTGGAGGGGGCGTTTGTGTCGGTTAGCTCCCCCTTTACAGCCACGCTGCACTGTGTTTTTAAGTGGGGGATTCCGAAAAGTTGCTGTTCTACCAGAAATACCCAAGGTGTCCAGCTCCGTGGAGTTTCAGAAGGACGTCATCAGTAGCCTGGAGTTAACAGGACCTCTGAGGGTTTCATCCAAAAGGTGTCCTAGCATTCATCAGTGTTGTGGTGGGGTACTCAGCCTGAGTGTGTGGCAGGGGGATGTGTTGCTAAATCAGGCAGATGGGCCCAGATGTCATGTGGAGGCTGGTTCCCCGTGCCTGGCCTGCAGGGTAAGGACAGGGAGGCAGGCTGTTCGCGAATCCACAGCAGCACGCCCTTCTGGAAGGTGCTACTTGCACAGGGGCAGCATTGTCATTTTGCCATGGCATTTGCACAGACTTAAGCTCTTCTCTGTGAGCCGCTTTTCTGCACCCTGGCTGCACTTAGCACAGGTTGAGGTGTAAATGGTAACCCACTTAACAGAATGCATGGGTTACGGGTGTGTATTTGTGCACAGAGATGTGCTGAGTGTTTGCATTGGCGCTGTCTGACGGAGAGAAAATTGGGAAAACAGAGCTGAGCCAGGCGAGGTCTCCTGCTGGTACAGAGCTCACCTTTAAAAAGACACTTTGCCATCACCTTGTTTTTTCTCCCTTTGTGATGTTGAACTTGGGGCCTCACACTTGAGCTGCTCTGCCAACCCTTTTTGTGTTGGTTATTTTTGGGATAGGTTTGCCTGGGCCAGGCTGGATCATGATTCTCCTATTTGTGCTTCCCCTCATAGTTGGCACCACAGGCGCTTGCCACTGCCCCCAGCCATTGGTTGAGATGGGGGTCTCACGAACTTTCTGCCTGGGCTGGCCTTGAACTGCTAAGAGTCTTGGATTATAGGCTGGAGCCACAGTGCCTGGCTTGCTGTCATCTTAATTTAAATTTCTGGTATAACCTCATTGACTCAACACCTGGCCCGGGGCATTATTCAGAAGACGGCGTGATCTTGCACAACAGAAGTGCTGAGAAGAGTTGATCAGTCTTGCAGGATTCTTGGTATTAATAACAACACCGCGATAGACTGATTTTTGTAGACCATATGCCTAGATTCGCTTTAAACTGGACGATCATAGACAGTCTGGGGACATGTGTGGTCCAGAGTTGTGGTTGCATGAAGAAATCCATCATGATTTGCGTTTGCTCCCACAGTTGTGAAAGCGGGTGTGCTGGCAGACGGGAGCCGAAGGAAGCCACACTGGTCCCCTTGTGCCATGTGCGGCTGTAGGGAAGAAGGTTGGAGCCTTGGGAAAGGCTGCTTTCTTGCACTTGTGACTCAGTGATTCAGATTTCTACAGAGGGGGTCTCTGCAGTGTATGGGACTTTACTCCTATGAGGGAATTTGGCTAAAATTATAAGCAGATCCAAAGTGGTAAACAAGATTGACTGTAAAGAATAAAGAGTGACTCGGGCAAGTGCGGTGGCTCATGCCTGTAATCCTAGCTTCTCAGAGGCTGAGATCAGGAGGATAGTGGTTAGAGGCCAGCTCAGACAAAAAAAGCTGGCAAAGACCCCAAGTCAGTCGATAAAAGCTGAGCATGGTGGCATGTGCCTGTGGTCCCAGCTACACAGGAGGCATAAATGGATTGCCATCCAGGTCTGAGCATAAAACTAAGACTGTCTAAAAACTAACCACAGCAAGAGGGACTGGTGCGTGGTTCAAGTGGTGGAGCACCTGCCGAGCAAGCCCAAGCCCTGAGTTCAAACAGAGGCAAGTGACATGTCTTAAGCCCTGGCACCCCTCCTACTGAGTACGGAGTGTGCCTGCGCCTTACGTAGATCTCAGGACAGTCCTGCGTGATGTCATCTTCCAGGTACTCGGGCCCAGACCACGCACACAGTCCACCTCTGCAGTCCACCATCCTCCCACACTAGCCTGTGCACTCCTGTGTCGGCTGCGCCCGCCTCTTCTGGGACAATGCAAGACCGGGTCCCCTGCACACAGAACCTTGGAAGTGAGACCGTCTATTCAGTTGGGCTCATGGTGACAGCACTCCTCCTCCTGAAGGTTCATGTGTGAGACACCAGCCTCACAGAGGCAGAGCTGATGCTCAAGTTTCAGGGACCATCGTTAAGGCCAGGTTCAACTCTCCCACAGTTTCATACTGAAAATCTGAAAGAACAGGAGAGACACGCTCCCGGTGATCCCCACCACGTCCAGCAGTGACCACTCTGCTGTGCTGTCTACTCCAGCCTTAGTGGCGGCCAGGGTGGGCGGCAGCTTGAAATTGCTGCTGCTGTGTCTCCTGAAAGTGAATTGCGATGTATGTTGTCTCGAGTCGCTTGTAATGCAGACGGTCCCTCCACATACTTCCCTCTGCTTGTGGTTTCTCCTCTTCTCTTTTTCTTTTTTAAAAATGTTTTCCCTTGTTTACCAGACGACTTGATTAAACTCTGGCTGCACACTGACAGGCTGAGGTGTAGTCACCTGTGGGATTTGCCGTGAAATATCAGATCATACCGTAGACCGGTCATGCTGCTTCACCACTGTTCCTCCCTCTTGTGCTGAAAATCCTTCAGCTCAACGACCTCCTCACTGTCCTCACCACGTCCACGATGGGAGGGCATGAACGGGTAGGGGGTGCTGCAGGCTCCAGACTGGTACAGTGTGGCTGCCATCAGCCATGAGAGGTGCCGTCCATGGAGGGAACGCTGCTGCTTTTGTTAAAAATACCTGGATTAAACACACGTGAGACTGCATGTCTGTGAGGTCGTTTGCCAGCAGTGTTTTCGTCAGAGCGTAAATTTCTAAGCCACCATTTCTCCTTTCACTTCTCCTCATTTAGAAGGAGCTGGCAAACAACCCTGACTGTCCTCAGATGTGTGCCTACAAGCTGGTGACCATCAAGTTCAAGTGGTGGGGGCTGCAGGGCAAAGTGGAGAACTTCATTCAGAAGGTGAGGGATCCCTTGCTCAGCACAATCGGGTGCTCGAAGTTGTCCACAGGGGGCCTGGCATGTTCACCCTAGCTTGAAGGAGAGGGCGGCCTTGACCAGCTGGGGCTCTTACACCTGCCCCATCTCTGTGACACACACCCCTTGTGCTTTCATGTGCGGTGTCACCTTTAGAAGTCCCCTCTCTGCACCTAAGGATCCAGATCCTAATTGCCTTTTGCAAGTGACACTTTTCTCACAGTCAAAAGAGCATGTCACATTTCGGTGTGGGATAACACAGTTAACACACTGTGCCTGCTTAGTGTGCACAGGGTCCTGGGCTCCCCACAGCACCGCACGAGATGCGCAGTAGAAAGACACAGGAAGTGTGGGGTTTTTCCTGTAGTGGGAATGCCAGTGTGAAGATGCCCCATTGTAGCTCAGACTCTCAGAAGTAGTTGTGTGTGTTTCACCACAACGTTCCTACTTTTAACCTACTGTGCATTTCAAAAGAAAGGACCCAAAATAGTTGGGAACTTTGATTGTTCTCCGGTCTGCGTGTACTTGGCCCGTGGAAGGCCCTCTGTAAACACTGGATCATGGTAATAAACAGCCGGTTCTGATCAGTAGAAGTCACACATGTAACTAATGACATCCCTTCTGTTCATGGGAAATGGTTGAAAGCTGTTTCATGTGCTTTTCTCACTTCTTGGGAAAACTCGAATAGAAATTAAATAATTTAATAACTAAAACCACCACGTGTGTACACGATTATATACACAATTGTGTACACACATACACAATCACGTTCGTGGCAGTAGCATAGAGAAGTGAATGGGAAGTCGTGAAGTTTTCTGAACCTTACAGTGCCTGGGAGTTCTCTCAGGACGGCTCACATCTCCCTCTCAAGTGCAGAGAGGTGAAGAATGACAGTGTAGTTATTTTATACCAAAACAACAACAGCAAAAAAAACTGGAATTGACCTTTGCTTGTTGACAGGCAAAGGGAAAGCAGGGTGGAGCAGGAGTGTGGGGCCGCATTTCTCCCATGATCCTGGAGACTTTGCTTCCATTTTGTTGCACACATTTACACTAGGATGAAATTAAGATTTCTAATTCCAAGCAAATGCAGGTGAATTTCCTGGGTCAGTTGGAACATGGAAGGTTATCGTGTCATTACTCTTGAGTGTCCACTGTCTTATGGTGCTTTTCCTGTTTGTTTTAAAAGCAAGAGAAAAGGATATTCACCAACTTTCATCGCCAGCTTTTCTGCTGGATTGACAAGTGGATCGATCTGACGATGGAAGACATTCGGAGAATGGAGGACGAGACTCAGCGCGAACTAGAGACAGTAAGCCTCCCCTCTCAGATGCGTGCTGCCCCCGTGGCGCGGAGAAGTGGGGGTGCAGGGGAGAGAGGCTTATGACCCGTCCTCCCCAGGGGACTTGCTCACACGCTGACGCCTCCCGCCTTCCGGTTTCCTTCCCTGTTGGTCATCCTCCCTGCAGCGGATGGGCGCGCTCCCTCGATGGAGTCTGTCCCTGTCACTGTCCAGTGGCTTTGTCCTCTTGCTCTCTGAGGGTTCTTTTACTCTCACTTGGCCAGACCAAAGGTGCCTTTGGTTCCATTGCCATCCCAGCAGGTCACAGTGAGTTCTAGTGTCCTCTTCTGTAGATGAGGACAGGGTTAGTGTATTGTGACCAGTTCCAGCAGGCCAGAATGCTGTGTTTCCCAGCTGAGCCCACCGGGCTCCCACCCTGCAGCCTGTGAGCGCCTTCTCTTCCAGGCCTAGTCTTCCCTGGCTTCCTCTCGCTTGTGTCTGGTTTTGGTTTATTCCTGGGCCACGCTTGTCTGCAGTTGGCAGTGAGGCTGAAGGTGGGGAGGGAGGGGATGATGAACCCAAGGAATGTTCAAGACCTGCAGTGATTTCCGTGCAGTCACCGCACGTCCTGCCAGCAGGCCAGCTCTGCAGGTGCTGCGTTGAGGGCCATGGTGTGCGGCGGGAGCGCCGTGTAATCACGGACCGCGCAGCGAAGCAGGCCCTTGGCACGAGGAAGTCTGTCTCTGGTGCACAGCTTCGTAGGGAAACAATCCGCGTTTTACAACTGCTTACTTTCGTTGATTACAGCAGGTCTGCTTCTCATTAGCCTTACACAAACCCGAGAGGACTGCAGCATATTTTCTTTATAAGGCAATAAAATGTTTAACCTTATCTTATGCTTAAAGCAAACTGCAGTCAGACTCCAACTTATGAATGGATTCTGCTCCAGAACTTCTGGGTGGATTGAAATGTGGAGTCTGGCTTCCCATAGGACAGCATTAGGCCTTGGGGTTTGGTTTTAGGGCAGCCAATAGAAACATCTGTGGCACAGGTTCTCAGTAAGGGTGGGACCCCTGAGTTCTGCACCTTTGAAGTAGGCGGGAAGATGACAGGAGTGGAGGGCTCTCTGCGCCCCTCGCTTTTAGGCTGGTCATGGGCGTGTAAGCAGGCGGACTGGGGCATGGGTAATCCCGCCCTCCCTTCCTGTCTGTCTGTCTGCTGCCCTTCTGCCACTATGAAGCACCCCATCACCACTCTGCCCGACTTTTCTCCTTTCCCCTGCCTTGCCTGGTTTTGCTCCAGGCCTCACTGCTCCGAGCAGCTGGAGTCCCCACCTGGCTCTGCGCATGCTGCTCACAGTACCAAGAGAACACAAAGCGGATTTGTCTTCTGATTCGGCTCCCTGGGCAGGAAAGCCATGTCTTGGCTCTGATTTTTATGCTGAAGAACTGTCACAGGAAGAGTGGTCACCACTGACCAGGTGGTGAATGTAGCCCTCTCTGGTCGGGGCCCTGAGCCTGGATATTCCTGGAGCCTTTGGCTGTATCTTGACTTTGACCTCTTCTTCCCCTGCTCTTGCTGCTGTCAGGAGTTCTCAGTCTCCCGATCCCCGAACACACCTGGGCCCACTGTCTGCGTGGTGAGACCCCAGGCCGTGGTGGTGACTCCTGTCCCAGCCCTTGGCAGCAGGCCTACTGTCTGCCTGCCCTCCGTGCCACACCATCATCTGTGAGGTAGAAATGGCTGTGGAAGAGGGGTGACGGACATATGATGACACAGGTGACCGTCCCGGCCCCACTGACCATGGTACACACATATGGCCACAGCGTCTGGAGACACTCCAGCTCTGCCTGCTGAGCTTCTGTGCAGGAGATGAGCGGTCACTGTTCACTCCGGGTCACTGGGGTCAGCACCTCCCTCGAGCCCTGCTGCCGCTGCCTAGGGTGACAGCTGCTTTGGAGCATCTTCAGAATTCAGGGCGCCACATAGAGAGCCCTGTCTCCTGGTGAGAGACGAGGTGTATGGTGGTGCTCTGCGCACATGCCAAGAGCCAGCTCTCCTTTCTCACACGACCTCTGGCCCTGGAGGGAGCCGGACACAGAAGGAGCCCCTGGCGTCCTCTGCAACCTGAGGGGTGCTTCAGGCAGATGTGGTTCCTGTTATCAACAGATGGTCAGGGCTGGGTTCGGCTGGGGAGGGGGTAGAGTGTATTTCTTGCGTTTGTTTCTGTCCATGTGTCCCTTGGTTTCTCATTTGTGTGGGTTTTCTCCTTGTCTGGGGGCCTTTAGGGTGCCTGGCCCTTCTGCATCTCTGCCCTCGTTTTTCACACCTCGTTCCTGTGCCTGCTGTTCCTTTCACTCTCCTTTAACTAACATGCAGCTGCCTCCGCGGGTTTCTGTCTGCTCTAGGGTCAGTGAGGACACGGACCAGGACACCAGGCCATTTGCTCACCTTACGTGGCCACCAGCTCATTGCCCCCGTGTTACCTCTGAGGACCTCACACCAGCCCACAGGCATTTTTCTTAGATGCAAAGTGCATGTCTGTCCTTTAACCGTGTGAAGATAGCCTTTTGCAGGGTTGCCTCTGAGCCAGGGTCACTGGAGGCCCCAGCCTCCTTTGGGTTCAGCATAGGCAGGCCCTCACAGTCTCCTCTCGGTCTTTCCCTTGTTTGCTAACCCTTCCGCAGAGTGCATTGCAGCAGCTCACGATTTTATTTTACGTTTAGATGCGTAAGAAGGGTTCCGTTCGAGGCACGTCGGCTGCTGATGTCTAGATGAGTCCCCCGTAGGGTCAGAGACAAAATCCAACTGTGTAAGTGAAGACATGGGGAAAGTGCTTAATGCCTGTGCCTCTGGTGAGGGGTGAGACTTTGCTGGCACAGAGGCTCACTCGCACCACGTGTCAAAGGGGGTTTTCTTTGTAGGATGTCAGAGACACGGTGAAAGCCTGAGTTCCTCCTCAAGAATTGTTTGTGGACCAGGCTGAATAGCAATCCAGGTCCATTTCCTGGTGTGACCAGTCAGGAGCAGGCCCACTACCTGGCACTGTCCAGGAAGCCAGCCGATGGTGCAGTAGCCAGCTAGGTGATCTGAGCGTATGGAATAGTGAGGAAAATCGAGCAAAGACCCCTTGCCCCACACCATGGGGCAGCCTCAGTAAGTCACGTAAGGTGATGTGTTTTCTGTGCACCATGCTGGTCTCCAGTAGTTTTCCGTTACCTTTGCAGTTACTTCACTCTTGTGTAAACACACCTTGTTTTAATTTACAGCATAGAACCTTTCGTGGTGTCATTTCTGTAACGCAGACTTCCACACCCAGGAAACAGATTTCCCTGGAGGGTGTCACACCTGGCCCATGTATTAAAGTGGACTGTCCCCGTGTACATACAAACCTACTGGGTGGTCACTGAGGAAAAGAGCGAAGCCGGGAGCGACCCACTTCCTCCGTGACTGAGCAGGAGGAGGAGTGAGAAGGCTGAGGGCTATTCCAAGACCCTCCGCAGCTCGCTCTTTTAAGTTTTTTGTTAGTTATTTTTTCTTTTATTAAGTTCTCCTAAGTTTCTGAGATTTATTTGTGCTTCTCATTTTTCCCTCTGATGAAACAAAATGTTATCCCATTAATGAGACAAAAATGTTTTTAAATGATAAAATTTTGAGGTGCGAGGTTTGGGAGTACATTTTCTGTCAGAAGTTGTGCTGCATTGAGCATTGTGTTTGTGGGGGGTGTATGTGACAAGCATTACATTTGTGTTTTCTGTGTGTTTTTAACACATTTTGCACTATCTTCCCTTTTCTTACAGTTACGTAATCAAGGTCAAGTGAGGGGAACAAGTGCAGCCAGTGATGAGTGAAGAAGAATCTGACCAGTGTTGACGTTCCCGATGTGTGACATCACACGCATACCTCCCAGCGTGTGTGTGTAGCTGTGCATACGAGGCGTGTGGAGCCGCAGATCCAGACACACGTGTGTATATATGTGTACATACAGACCATCCTGAAGGGATTAGGACCGCTTCTCCAAAGTACTGTACCTATCTTCAGCAAGAATGCAAAAGAAAATATTTTCAATATATATACTGGAACAGATTTTAGTAATTATCAGAGTAATCCCATTCACGGACAAACTGACTGCGCTGTGATACGAGCTGGTGTGCGTCACGAGTGTCAAGTTGTGGACCAATACATATATACAGCCTTTGGTACTTCTCTGTTCTTTCCACTCAGTCTCTTATACACTTTTGGTTTTGCCCATAAGCAACAGACTCCCACAGAAAGCTTTCGTACATTTTTTGGTGTTCCGGTGACTCTGAAATGTAAACTCTGAATGTATTTATAGCTATTTATTTCGGGATGGTCACTATCCTCCAGCCAAATTTGAGGATCTCTGCTAAGTCAAGGGTAGGGTCACAGGCCAGTTTTTCCTAGTTTGCCCCAAGGGAAGAGTCCTTTTAAAAAAAAAAAAAAATTCCAGTTTTTATTGGATTTTTATATTTTAAATTTCAAATATTTTTCTATATCAAACCTAGCAAAAATTGAGACGATGGTTTGTGATTTATAATAAACACATGGCAATTTTCAGGCTCTTGTGAGGCAAACAAAGAAATCAGTAAATTAATCATAATGGTATCATGGGTTATGCAGCAAACCAGAAGTGTAGTGCTTCTGTGAAGTCTTGGTTCTCAGCAGACTTCTGGAGCTGTAGCGGGAGGCTGTGCACACGGCCCGCCTGGACCCCTCATGGATGGGAGAGGGAGGGGCAGTGGGAAGGTGGAGGCGTTTCTTCTTTCCCTGAGGTAGGAGCACTTCAAGATGCAGCACCGTGTGGAGACCCTGCGAGGGGCCCCGGGCCCTCTGACCTCTGGGTGTCTCTGGTTGCACATCAGAAACACACCCCGAATGGGCGTCCTGGAGACAGACACTGGTCAGAAGTTGGTCACTGCCACCTTTTTTTTGTTTTTGTCTTTTTTAAGGAATAATAGGTAAGATTTTTTTATCCGCTTTCGCTATCTCAATGCAGTTTTTCTCCGGTCAGTCCTGGAAGCTTGAGTAAATGGACACTGTTGAAGCCTTCAGGTCACAAATTGTCTTGAACCTCTGTCCCTGCTGGAATGCACCAACCTTTGAGGTCACCTCACGCTAGGCGTTGGGCCTGCCACAGGCCTTCCCTCCTTGTTCCTCACCTGCCCACGCGTCCTGTGTGTTCATCCCTGCCCCGTCCCCACGATGGCGTGAGTTGGGTGATGTGCGTGACTACCGCTGCCTTGCAGTACCGTTACCCTCAGAGCCCCCTCCCTGGCTGCCCGCGTCTCCGCGTGCTCAGGATCGAGGCTGTGTCACTCTGGGCGCTCTTGGGAGATGGGCTTGCTTAGAGCCCATCGCTGTCTGTGGAGTGTGAGTCTGCCCTCGCCTGGTAATGAACCTGGCTGTCCCTCCAGGAGCCTGGGCACATGGGAGGTGCCAGCCCGGCCTGTGACTTTGATGCTTTCCTAACAGCTGTGGAGACTGGAGGTGCGCGGTGAATGTAAAATACCTGGTTTACTTGGCGGTCTCTCGTGTCAATTACAGTAAAACGGAGTAATGAAATTTAAACAAGAAATAAACTTGATCACAAAGGCCACCGTGTGCTTACGTGCTTGCTTCCCTGGTGCCACGCCTGTCCCCAGCACCGCCAACCACTTCTCTGCTAGTTTTCCCACAATTACCTGATTCACAGCCGTCTCGCGCCAGGACGAAGAAAAGGAAAAAAGCCGTCGTTCTTTTTCCACGCCAGACGTACTCTGGCCACGCACCGTGCCACACTAGGGCTGTGCTTGGTTTCTCAAATAATCTTCTGTCTTTAATAAAAGCTGAGTGGTGGTGTAATGAAGGCATGTGCAGCATTAGTCTTGGAGGCTCTTAAAAATTATTTTGAAGGGGAAATAAGGAAAACAGCATTTTAAAAGCACTCTTGTCGGGGCTTTGCCATTAGGTTCTGATGGTTTCCAGATTGAGGCTTCTAGGTTTGAGGCTGGTCCTTTGTCATTTCTAGTCTGCTCTTCTGAACAAGCAGCAGCGACGTTCTGGTGGCTGACTAACGCCCCTGTGCAGAGCTGTCCACATCGGGTGGGAGTGGTGGCCGCCCTACGGGTGGTTTAATATCTAATGTAGTTCTGGGGCGCTCAGGGTTTGGTTTTGAGGTCGGTTTCTCAGTGTTCAGTTTCAGTCATGTTTGCGTGCGTGGGGCAGTCCCCTGACTGTGCGTTTAGCAATATGAGTGCTTATCGATGGCCCTGGGGTCTCGGGGAGGTTCCAGGAGGAAGAGTAAAAGAGGCTGTGAGAGAGAACCCGCAGAGGCCGTGTGGCTGGCCACGGTCTGGGAGTATGATAGGTCCTGAGGTATGTTAAAGCCAGGCCACGACACAGCAGCAGGAACCCAAGGAGCCCCGGGGCTGGTCTCAGCAGCGCGGGATCAGCACCCGTGTGGCTTCCTGGCTTCTTCCGGATTGTTGGACCCTTGGTCTGGACATGGACGCTGTGAGGCCCTGCTGTGAGGCTGTCGGCCGCGTGAGACCCTGTCCTCTAACTCACCTCACTGCGTGCGTGCTCCTTCCTGTCTCATTCTCTTTTCAAGCTGCCTCCCAGGCGTCTCCTTTCCTGTCCTGCTCTCCTCCCCTGCCAGCTACTGTTCTGCCCTCTGTTCAGCCTGCCCAGCCTTCTCCGCAGATGTCCCTGTCGCTTCTCAGCAGCTTAGTGTCAAGGCACGGGAAGGCGTGTGTCCTCAGGCCTCAGATAAGGTGAGGTGAGAGCCACAGAAAGCTGGGAGGTGGAGTTCAGTGTGTGCAAGATGGGGTTTTGTGGGTTCCACTGCCCTGGGGAGCAGGGGTGCCCAAGCTCAGAACACCCCTGGCCACAGGGAGGACTTCCCAGGGGACCCTGCCTGTGTACTTGAGTTCGTTTTCTGATTTGAGAATGATAGGCAGGTCCCCTCATAACCACTTCTTCACCAGCATTGCACTGGGAAAAGTAGAAATCGCACAGACTCCTGGAAGTTCGGGGGCCAAGCAGAGCATGTGAGCTGGCGCTCAGCAGCCAGAGATCCCCCCGAGGGACTCCCACTCCCAGGAGGAGCTGTGGCCTCCCTCAGGAGGGACTGCTGCACGTGCATTTGGTTTTCTCCTCCACTGACTTAAATCGTGAGCATCAAACGTGTTCCTTCCAGCCAGGCTCTTCTCTTCCGAAAACTGGCCTCTGGGATGCCTGAGTCTGCGCGATTGCTGTGAGGTACTAGCTGAACCGGTGCGTCTCCGTCCTGGCTGCACCTTAGGCTGGGGAAGGAGCTCAGGCTTCCTGGCCTCCCTGAGGACCATGGAGAACTCCTCTACGTCATCCTGCTGGGTCTGCAAAGCCCCAGAACGAGCCCCTTCCCTCTCTGTGGAACCTCTGCTGCAGGCTGCACTTCGTCCCCCTTTGTCTCTTACAGACCCCATGACATCTCAGATCTGATGTTTTGTGCCCGACGTTACCTGGGCACTCCTTGGGCAGGTATTGTAGTTGTACCCTGAAGCTGCCTTCCTGATGGAAACCTTGGCTCTGAATCTGCTCCCTTTTGCCCACAAGAGATTCTTGCGGACCCTGTGCTAACCAACCCCTCTTTGGAGTCCCGGGGTTCACAGGCAGGATCAGTGTCTGCTGTTGAAGAACTAAAGCTAGGACAAGATGAAAAGATTCTGCAGTTAACGTACAAAATGTGGCAAGAACAGAGGAGGGAGCCCAAGTCCACGTCATCAGCCTCCCTTTGCAGAGACCAGACCAACATGCATTGCACTGCACCACCCCCCTCACCCCCTGTCCAGTGACAGTGCCACTGAGCGCTGTGAGACCTGAGGTTCCCTGGGTGCCTGGTCTCACAGAGCACCTCTGGTGCAGGTGAAATCCCAACCCCCGTGTGTGTCCTGCTGCAAGCCACACAGCATCGCTTATCTCAGGCAAGGTCCACAAACCCTGAGGCGCTGTAGGCCGGGTGGTCTTTTGGAGCTATTCGTCCCGCCCTGGACATGCAAGAACAGCCAAAGACTGTAATACAACAACCAGCGTCTGTCCCAATAAAACTTAGCCAGTCGTGATTTGCCAGGTGCTTGTGTGGGGCATTGCATGGATGACCTTGAGCTCTGCCACAGTGAACTTTTTAGGACATCCCTGGCAGTGCTGAGCCCCACCGGGAACACCTGAATGGCTCCCCGAGGCCCAGAAGCCAATGCAGCCAAAGTCAGCCACAGCCACCGGGAGCCTCATCCAGCTGCTAGTTGGGTGGAGCCAGGGATGCCCGTCATCCGGGTGACAGGAACCCAGCTGATTGTGCTCTGGATCTCCAGATTGTCTATCGAAATGGCTCTAAGGGTTTGAGTCCCAGCCGGCAGTAGCCCACGGTGGAAGTGTGGAACTGTGACATGCTCACCAAAGCCACTGATGCACGAAGTGTAATGAAAACTACGCTGGCTGAACTCACTCATCTCTTACGCAGAAAATCCCATCCGCGGCTGTTCCAAGGAGCACTCTTTGTACAGAGCGTTTGTTAATGTCTGTGCCCTTCAAGCAGCTGACGGTGCTGTAGGTGCCATTGCTGACGGTTACCTTGGGCATGGTGTCCTGGCTCTTGATGAGTACAGGAAGGAGGGCCAGGTCTTCGCCTAGAAAATTGGCCCTGCGTTTGTTTCTCTGGGTTGGTGACGTGAGACTCAGCCTTGGATGAATGTGCTCTCTGCCCAGGTTTCTGAGAAGTGGTAGGTGGATGCTGTGACGTGCTGCTGCCTCCCCGTGTTGAGCTGCTCTGTGTTCTGACCACACCTGTGAATTGTCCATAGCAGAGCTGCCTTGCACTCCAGATGGAAGCAGAAGCGGAACAGAGGTGTAGCCTGCAGGCTTTACTCATGTCTGTACTAAACGAAAGGTTCGCCTTGGGCATCCTTCAGCAGGCTGACCCCTGCAGCCAAATGTACCCAGCATACCCGCCTTCCATGGCCCTGGAGGTTTGGGGACAACTTTGCAGCCATCCAAGGCGCACCAGCCGTTCTCCAAATGGCCTTCCAGGAGAGCCACTGGATACGGGAGACCTCACTGGGGCCTGAGAGGGCCACAAAAGCCCTCTTCCCTTAGACCAGGGATCGGCAGGCTCTGCACAAAGAACCAGGTAAATAGCGTGTGCTTTGTGGGCTACCGAGCATGCAACTGTTCAGCACTGCCCTGGTGGAGTGAAAGTTCCCTTAGCCATTCCACAGTGAGGGCCTGGCCAGTGTGGCAGGACTCGACACAGCCAGGCGCCAGCGAGCGGCTCACCTGTCATCCTAGCTGCTTGGGAGGCTGACATTGGGAGGATCGCAGTTCAAGGCCAGCCTGGGCAAATAGTTCACACGACCTCATCATCAAACTAACCAGAGCAAAATGGATTGGAGGTGTGGCTCCAGTGGTAGAGAGCCTGCTTTGCAAGTGCAAAGCCCTGAGTTCAAACCCCAGTCCCACCAGCAAAACAAAAAACAAAACCACAGGCTGTGCTGGCCCTAGGCCACACCCAGTTTTTAGATTCTTCACTGAGTTGTTTCTCTTAATATCAGATTGCAAAACTGGCGGCGCTAATGCCAGGCCACCAGCCAAAACTTACAATCACAACTCCTGACAAAGGAGGCTCGTGTGGTCTTCACGGGGCCTGTGGGCGAATGCTGTCATCATCCTCCTTTATGGATGAGGAAACTGAGCCCACTGCTGTCGTTCTCCCCAGACATTTTGCTAAAGGTGGTGCAGCCAGGCTGCCATCTGGACTCATGCTGGAGTCTCTCAGAACCATGGCTCATCCAGCCCAGCCCAGCCCAGCCCAACTCAGAGTGCAAAGCTGTGTTCCTGTGGCGCTGGACAGGGCGGGTGGCAGGAGCAGCCCTGGTGACCAAACTACTTGGGAGTGTGAGTTCTTTATACCACCAAGGACCTAGCTGCCAGGACTGAGCCTAGAGCCAAGAACACATCGGCCTCCCTTCCCGCTGAGGCCCCTCGCTCAGGCAGGGCCTCCTGCCACCTCTCCCCCCCCTCCCTGGAGCTTGCTTTTGTTCCCTGCTGTGAACCAGGGGTTCTGGATCTATGCACAGCAAAGTCCTTGAGGGGACAGGTTCAGTGACAGCTCTGAGAAGCCTCGGACTGCTACAGCTAGCAGAGAAGTCAGGCGGCAGCCACATCCGGCAGGAAGTCTGGCCTGGGAACCCTGGAAGGAGCCCGTGGGGTGGCTGTGTTAGCATGGGGGAGGGGAGTGGGGGGGATTGCGGGATTGTGGATAGCTCTCACTGTACCACACAGGCCTAAGAACCCTTCCCTATGTGATTGCCCAGCCCAGCGCTGCCACCTCGCCTTCAGGGATGAGGTTTGTCCCCCCCCACCCCCGCCTCTGGTGGCCCATGAGCTCACCGCTCTTCTAGGCGCATGTCGGAGCCCAGCAGGGGGATTTCAGGATTCCTTGGGCCCCTTCCAAGCACACAGGCTCAGATTTTCCACTTGTGCTTTTGAGGTCAGCGCCTGCATTCCTGCTGGCGAGTCCCCGTGCGTGTCAGCCGCCTGCCCGCCTGCCTGGGCTCCGCTCCCCGCTCCGGCCCTCTCTCCCACTGCCCCGGGGGCTCTGTTGGTGACTACACAGCCAGCCCGGCTCCTGGCCACCAGCATGTGACCGCCTTTG